GTACACAAAATGGAGCTCAGAAATGAAGAATATCGAGTTCCTGATCTTGGTCTTGGATATGCTGATCGTTGTCTTGGCTCCTCTGATGTTGGTTTAGGGTTTTGGTTTATTTGGGTCTGCTCTTGGAATACATAAACGGTGCCATTTTTGGTGTCCATTTTTTTAATAAAAAAAGAAAAAATGCTCAAAAATGGTGGCATTTTATTAAACCGCATATGGTGCGGTTATTGGGTTACCACAGACGAGTCGGACCCCTATCCTTTAAGGAAGAAAAGAAGAATGATATATTTTTCTTCCTTTGTGTCTAGTTGGATGGATAGAAAATAAAAATGACCTTTTTTTTTTTGTGTTGGCTAAGATTAGTAGTGACAACCGAGTCGTATCGTGCTGTGTCAGATTCGTGTTGATTCATTACGGATTTGTGTCGAACATTAGTCAAACCAAACTCAACTCATTTAACTAATTATATCGTGTCGAGTTGCAGGTTGACTTGTTTATTTTTGTATCTCGTTTATATTCGTGTTGATCCACATAAACTTTGAATAAAAAATTTAACGCTAATATTCTATTTTTTATTTTTTATTTTTTTATTTATTTTTAAAATTTTTTTAATATATATATATATATATATATATAAATACATATTTTATCATTGTATTTTTATGTGAAATTAATGTATACGTAATATATGTATATATTAAAAGATATATAGATAAATAAGATATATCTAAACACAAATAATTAAATTTCTATCCACTTTTCTTTCGATTTTAGAGGGATTGATTTGGTGAGTTGGAAGGAAAGTTAATTCATCCACTTTTTCATTCTTCTTATTTTTCTTCCTTACCAAACATGATATTTTATTTATCCTCCAACTTTTCATCCTTCCATTTTTCGATCATACCAAACAGATCATAAAAGATTTTTAAATTCTCAATTGACATCCACAATATTAAAATTATTGCATCACATTCTCAATAAGTTAAAAATATAGCAATGTAGTTCAAAAGTAACAGTGCGTTTCCTTTTATGAGAAATTCTTTTTGTTGAATTTGCAATATTATTCTATTTCTATACGTAATTTTTTTTGCATAATACTCAATTTTAAATATTTTTAACAAAAATTTGGTACTCAATTTTCTTAAAATAGAACACATTGCTATTTTTTTTTGTTTGATTAAGGGTGCAAATATGATAATTTAAATCATTTAGGGTGTAAATTGAAAATAAGAAGAGTGCAAAGTGTCATTTGCCCTTTGGACTCTACAACAACCATCATGTTTCTTCCAAGGGACTTTGATATGTAAAAACCTAAGTTTGTTAGAAGGTAAAGGCTATGACAAGCAACAAAACGTCCTTGTTGTCAATACTAATTATGTTTAGATGATCAATGGAGATTTAATGTTACTAGCTCTGTCTAGGAAAAGCCAGGGGATAGTTTGACAAAGATCTGAATTCCCGTAAACGTAAAGATGATAAGACAGAAAAGAAAATTGAGGAATTACTTGAACTTATATGTCATGGCAAGCTAACGTTCAAGAGACTACTGGACGAAGTTCTGGTTAATTGTGTATAGAAAGCCAGATTTTCCTACGCACAAGTATTTCATCAAAGTCAAGATTGGTTCAGACCAATGTCGGTTTAGTATACATTTCGAATTTAACTTGAAATAAAATTCGTAAATTTCAAATTTGACGTCATGTGGACAGAGGATGCAAGCTGCAAAGAAATCAATATAAATAGATGGCTAGATAATACAGAAGGGTCTGCCATGTACATAGCAGTTAGGTGATTAAAGAATTGTTGTGAAGACATCAAGTCTTGGAGTAAAAAATACATCTGATAATAACAAATAAATATTAGTTGACCTACGTCCGAAACCAACCAAAGTTCATATGGAGGATGCATCAAAGGAAGTTATGATCAAAGAAGCAAAATCAACTCCCAGATCAATTGTAACTTGGCGTAAATAACATAAATTCTAGTTACACAAATCACGTATTAACTAGTCAGATGCAAGAGATCAAAATACAAATTTTTGTCATTTAACAATGCTACAAAGATGCCAATGGAACCATATTTTGCGACCTAAGACAGAGAATGAGACTTGGCTTGAGGATGAGGAAGAATTAAATGATCGTAAGAGAATACTACTAGGATCTCTTTCAAAAACATTTGCACAAAGAAACTTAAACAAGTCCCTTTGGGTAGTGCAAACTAAGATCAATGAAGACATGAACCACATGTTGCTAAGGTCCATTACCAATGAAGTTCACAAAGTTATAATGCAGATAGTCCTCATCTAATAGCATTTTGCAAATTCTTGTACAAAGTCATGTCGAAGGTGATGGCCAATAAAATGAAATCAATTTCAGTCATAAAGTATCCCCCAATCAAGCAGCCTTTGCTTCTCATTGGCAAATCCAAGATAGCATTGTAGTTGCAAATAAGGTCTATCATTACCTGCACATCAAGAAGAAAGGATGGACGCAAGACATGGTCACAAAATTGGACTTACGAAAGTATATGACTGAGTTGAATGGGATTTTCTTGAGTCGGTGATGCTCAATGGGGTTTAGTTTGAGATGGGTGTAGTTGGTTATGCACTGTGTAAGCATAAAAATTCCTAGAGATTATTGATAGGCTAATGATGTTTAAATCAAAGAAATGAGTTTAATTGCTTAAGTTGAAAGGCTCAAGGCTATAGAACAGTGATTGTGGTAAGAATGGTGAGTGAGTGAACAATGAATAGCAAGCCTGGAGGCTTTGTAGTATTCTATCGGAAGGGTAAGGTGAAAGAACAAGCTAGAAAATCTAGAAGAACACAAGGAATCTAGTGGTTCATTAGTAGTTTGGTTAATCCACTCTAATGGATTCTTTTGCTTCTTGAGGGATTTTCTATTACTTGGGCGAAGAAGATAACAGTCACAGCAGTTGAGATTATATTTCATACCTTGTGTGAGGAATGGTCCTCATGTCATCAATATGTGGTCCTCTACTTTGTTAGAATTTTGTTGGGAGAATATTTGACCGTTAAAAGCTATATTCTCTAGGTGTGACGTGACCTTATAAAATATGCTGATGTGGCCTACTAGAACATGCTAAGATGGCAACGTGACCTATCTCCGAGCTTGGATACGACGTGATCTTCCATATCTATGAGAGGTCATACTACTTGGGATGACCTCTTGTTCTTTTGGACAGCTCGTGAATAAAGGAACTTGATCTATACTCCTGATCTAATCTAGAAATGCTGAACTTTCTCGTGAGATGGCATGGACGACCTGAACACCTTTGCCTGAGGTTGTACTTGAATGACCTGGATACCTTTGCTGGAGGTTAGATATACAACTAGAAGTCGGGGGGGGGGGGGTTAGACTTTGTTATTAACCCTTGTCGCAGACGAGGTACTGAAATATTCTTATACTTATTTTTGGTATCATCAAGGACCAAACTGAGAAGGTGGAGCCATATTCTCTCAAGTAGCAAAAATTTTTTTGCATATATATAACATCTATTGCCAAGCATTAGTCCAAAGCATCAATCAAAAAAAAATGCAACATTATGTTCCCAAACAATACATTAAAGGAACAAATAAGGCAATTTACTCAATTCATGAGAATGTAAATGTAGCTTTTTCCACATAATGCAAAATATTTGTGTATTCCTACCTCTTGGGGAAGGCCAGAATCCAATGTTTTAGACTTTCTACTCTAGAGGTTATTAAAAAAAATTAAAGAGTAGAAAATCCTTTTTCTTTAACAAGCAGAAAAAGATATTCTAATCAAACCGGTTATTCATCATATTCTGAAGTATACAATGTCTTACCTTACTTTTTATGATAGTGTATCGAACATAATAACTTAAGGGTAGCTCGTCCATTCATATGATTTTAAATTGAACCCTTCCCCAAAAGTGAAAGAGAAACAGCAAGCCAAGCTAATTATAAGAAGCCTAATAAGGAATTATGAAGTGCTTGTGCCTAATTCATTGTGTAGGATGTGAGAGAGTGTTGATGTTGTAGTTTTGTATTTAGTACTTTCTTCGCTAACCTTGTCCATAAGAGAATGTATCACTACCATGAATGTTCAATTTCTTAGCATTTCCCAACAAAATCCTTGAATTAAGATGTTTTCATTTCACCCTTTATTTTTCTCCTAGCCAAACTTCAATATTTGAACCTACTACTAGCAAAGATAGAACTACATACATGGAGTTTTCTATAGAATTTCCCATAATTTTGAATTAATGTCATGAAAGTACTTATGTTTTTACTTATTATTCCCTATATTTCAACCACTCCCATTTTGAAGTTTTTTGTTCTAACAGTGCACCAAGTCAAAAAGAACATAATTAAACACGTCTTTTACTAAACAGGTAGATTTTTTACTCAAACGTTCATTTTAGAGTAGTGTGAAAGTAACTAAAATAATTGGGAGAACGACGTAAGAAATTCAATAATTCAAATTGACAAATTAAAAAGAGTCACATTTAAGATGGTTAAAATATAATTTATCCTACGATAGATAAAAGTCTCTAAGGCATAAAAAGGTTATTTTTGCCATATGACAAAATGAAGTGGATAACAGTATTAGGGTATATAAAATATGGTAAAAATAAAATAAAAGGCAAGTGGGGAAAAGAGGATAAGACTTGAGGTGGGGAGGGAGTGTTTGGTGTCACATGGCAAGCATATTGTGCCCAAGTAGAGTAAGATAGATATTGGTAGATTTGTTTTTATTAAATGGGGAAATGTTTTTGATATCAAACAGTTATAAGGGTCTCTCTCTGTCTTTCTCTCTCTCAGGTTTCTGTCTTCTCTCTCCTCTCTCCTCTCTCCTCTCTCCTCTCTCCTCTCTCCTCCGCCTTATCTTTCTCTCTCCTCTCTCCTCTCTCCTCTCTCCTCTCTCTCTGTCTGTCTCTCTCCAGAAGGGGAAAAACCCTAAAAGAGCTGTTTACTCACAAGTAAGTTCTCTCTCTCTCTCTGTTTAAAATCTGGACATTTCTCTCTCTCTCTCTCTAAAATTTGAATACATGTCTTATGCGCCCTTATTCTGTGTTGCGTGCCATTTCCATTTAGATCTATGTTTTGCCGATATCTGGATTGATAACATGGATCTGAATTTATCCCTTTTCATTTTAGATCTACGTTCAGAACCCTAAAAATTTCGACTTTTGCTTCTTGTTTTTGTTGGGGGTGGGGTGATTTGCATTTCTGTGAATTTCTAAATTCGGAGCATTTGGGTTCCTGTGTATTGATCTGTTTGGATTGTCTCTCCTGAGTTGGTTGGATTTTTTTCACCCTCGTGTTTGATTTCCCAGTTTGAAGCATCATCTAGGTTATGTAATCTCTTTTTGGTTTTCATTGTTTTGGATTATCGCGTGATTATAGTTGCAGGATCGTTTTGGATTATCGCGTGATTATCGTTGCAAAAATCTGGATTGCTACCAGATTTTTGCAATGCCAGTAATGGGTATGTTTGAATTAGTGTATTCATTCGATTCAGATCTTTCTGGATGTGGTTCTGGTGAGGCTGTTTGGATCTGGTCCCCCTTATATTTGTTTTCAGAGTATAAAGCCTTTGCTGTGTTTGTTTGTCTGTTGGAATTTCATGCTTTTGAGGTGTTTTTGTTGGGTATGGTTCATGGACTTGAAGAGTTTTGATTGTCACAGTATGAACACTGCAATGACAAGATATGTAAATTGATGGCCTAGTTAAAATTTAATTCTTTATGCTGTTGGTTTCCTTGATCTGTAGTTGTGATGGACGACGACGGATTGAATATGCGGAATTGGGGTTATTATGAACCTTCTTTTAAAGGACATCTTGGTCTGCAGCTCATGTCATCTGTGACAGAGCGCGGTCCAAAAACTTTCATATCAGGGCGTGACAATGCAGTTATGGTAAGCGCCAATGGGGCGTTTCACCCTCGGGATTATATGGTTTCAGAAGCCTCTGTACCCATGGATTGTGTGAGGGACAGTTGGATAAACCATAGAGATAAATTTCTTCACATGATACCAGGAAACCCCTATAATGCAGTTCTTGCCGAACCTTCTGGATCTCATCCCATGCAGATGTTACAGCAACCTGATACGTCAAAGGATACCAGGTTGGCCATGGAAGATCCAAATGTTAGGAAGGAAGCTGGTCCTGCAAAAAAAAGGCCTGGTGCTGCCACTCCGAAAACCCCTAAACCAAAGAAGGCAAAGAAAGCCCCTTCTCTGCCAAAGGATAATGGGAACTCCTCTGTTCAGCGGGCAAAACCAGCAAAGAAGAATATGGATTTTGTAATAAATGGGATTGACATGGACCTTTCAGGCATTCCTATACCAGTTTGCTCGTGCACTGGAACTCCTCAGCAGTGTTATCGATGGGGTTGTGGTGGTTGGCAATCAGCTTGTTGCACCACAACCATATCGACATATCCCTTGCCAATGAGCACCAAAAGACGTGGAGCAAGGATAGCTGGGCGGAAGATGAGTCAGGGTGCATTCAAAAAGGTATTGGAGAAACTCGCAGCTGAAGGTTATAACTTTGCTAATCCAATTGATCTGAGGACTCAGTGGGCCAAGCATGGTACCAACAAATTCGTCACAATCAGGTAGATTAAAAGTGTGGGTGCTGTTACTGGACTACCATTGCATTGGGTCCTGCTTTACTTGTATATATGTTTATGGCCTTATTCCGAGGTTTTCTTGGTACTTGTAGTCCAGGAATTTTCACCATCATGATACATGCTTCAACCTATAGCAATCTGGATGGTTCCCAGAACCGTTGTTTAATTTTTCTTTCTGTTTCTGTTTATGTTTATGTTTCAAGGCTATGAATGTTGTCTGGCCACCAAGAATGTAGGATTGCGGATTTTGTGCCTTTAGTTATTGGATGATTTTGAGATACATTTTTTTAAATTTCTACCATAAATTGCTGTCTAAGTTTCTACCATAAATTTCTCACTTCTTTCTTGTCAGTTTACTGACATGCCATAACTCCCTTCCTGTGTGTGTGTGTGTGTGTTGGTATTGTACTTCTTCTGAGATAGCATTGGATGTTCTTTATCCTTTTATTGCAATTCTAGTCTATCAGTCATGACAGTTTCTTGTTACTCACTTGCACCAAATAGGTTTTTCAAAGAATTACCCATGATCTGTAAGCCTGCGTATGCATTGATTGTGTTTCTGATTTAATGAAATTGATTGTTAAATTTCTGAAGAACCTTAGCTGCTGCTGTATATGTGTTTTCACTCCGGTAAAACTAGTTGGGGCTCCCCATGGTTTAGTAGAAGAAGAAGAAAAAGGAAGGGGGGGGGGGGGGGCGTTATTTTATGAACTACAAAGTTTAAGTCTGTTTAGTGAGGTCTTAAGAACTTCATACAATGAATGATTGGTCATTCCATTTGTGCTTTTAGCACGCTTTGTTTGGGAAATGGGTAAATTTTATGTGTCTTTTCTCCTTGGATTGTGTTTATGGAGTATTAAGAGTATTTGAGTTAGAAAAGAAGTTTAAAATGAAAGTGAAACAAAATCATTAAGTAATGAAGAAAGAGTTTTATGGTGAATCCCAATGGATTCTTCACCTTTTCAAGGTTCAGACCTTTATTATTGATTGGGAGATATGCTGTGCATGTGTCACATTTTTGGCAGTTTGGGAGTGTACTTAGCTTTTCCATTGTGGCCACAAACTTGATATATTCTGTATGATCACATAACTATTGATCCTGTTCCATATTTCTTTAAAATTATTGTAGCTTTCAAACTTTATGATTTTCTTCCGTCTGTTGATCTTGTGTTATGGAGTTTGAACAAATTTGTTTTAGTTGTACTTGGTCGTGGTATGTAAAATATAACAAAATAGTGCCGTTGTATAGTATTTAGTTTTTGGAGGCACTGACTGTTTATGTTGAATTTTCTTAGTTATCCAGGTTATTTATATATTCATAAGACCATTCCATGACATACTTGGATAGCATTCCACATAATATTTTCAAATCATTTCTTAAATACACATATTCTATACTTTATATTCTTGGGTATTGGTAAAAACCATGGCAGACTCAATAGGAATACAACTAATTGCTATGGTTTTGGAGGAATGTTTTATAGTTTTACTAGCAAGTATTTCTTAAAAGTGGAAACATTATTCATGTGAAGTGCAAGGCACATGCTGACAAGTACTGTCTGATTTGCTTATCAAATGTTGATGATTTCTTTATACATTGATGACTAGCATTGCAGGTCTTAAGTCAGCATTTGGACAGAATGCTTTATTTTTGCGATATTATTCCTTGCCCAATATTCATTTTAAGTTATTCCATCAAGTAAAAAATATCTTGTTCCCTGGAGGATTTTGAGAAGAGATTTCTTGCAATAGCACAAATGCTGAAAGAAAGATAAGAGACTTGTGAAGGGTTTCAAAGTGGAAAAGGAAGGATGTATGGTTTCACATGATGGATGGGTCGTGTGATTGTTCAGATTGCAGTATAAGAACCCCTTGTTCTCAGTGATCCACTTGCTTTAGAAATGCAGTTTGCCCTGGTAAATATAATGTTGCCTGCTTGATGTTGTGTAGAAGGATCATAAAGTACTTACACACATATTCAAGTTCTGAAGGAACTTACTTTATTTCGCAGAAGAGGGAAGGCATGGATTGATTCTTACCATGTGATGTATAATATGATCAATCCTATTACCAGTTGTTTTTAAGTATTGACATTGAATCCTGGTGGCTATCTGTTAATTTATTTGTGAAATTATCGAGTAGTGTACAGGCAAACTTTAATTAAAAGTTATTTGGGGAGTTGTTCATGTTCAAAAGAAGAACTTGCATTTGTGGGAGGAATCTGTTGTGATGCTGGATAGTTGTCACCTGACTATAAGATTGGAAAGTAAATTTGATAAGATGGAATAGATACCATCTAAGCTGTTTGTTAGAGAAGCTTGGGCAGTCAGGACGTAGCTTCTTTGTTAACATCGCTGAAATGAAATTTCAGAGATGGCTGATGCCAAAACGGGGAAATATGGAGTTTGATAGTGTTATATAGTCCAGGAGGATAAGCAGATGTGGAGAGGGCCATAAATGATGTGTGTTAAATCTGGAAAAGTGTTCTGACATTCTGGTCTGGAGACTGATGTATGTTTTATGAGAACATTGTGTTATATTGTTGGTAGAAAGGTTTAGGAAGATGAGAAGAAGGCAGAGCCAAAAATAATATGTGCTATACTGAATGGGCCCTCAAAACCTTGAGAGATCTTCAAAATGGAAACTCAAGAAGGAAATTGAGAAGCTTCATTATTGTTGAAGAATTTGAAGGCCTCTTCATTTTTATTCAAAAACCATTTTGATTTTTTTGATTGCATTTTGACATAAAGACATGAAGTGAAACGGAAGTTTGGAAATTTAGTTTCCTGTCACAATGGGCTGAAGCCTTAAGAATGTGGAGAGCAACTCCTGATTTTGGTGAGGACTTTCCCTTTCCAAGGGAATAGTTTCAGAGAAGTGCTCCTAAACTTTCTTATTCTCCTCTTTATTCGTCTATTTTGCTTTCAGATGAACTAACTTCAACAGGCTTCTTTCCTTCTCTTTCACTTAAAGTGTGACGATGCATAAAGATAGAGTTAGGAATTTCTATGGAGCTACCTTCAGATCTCATGTAATCATGTTTAGGGTTGAATTGGGTCCATAGAACACCAAGAAATCAACTTTCTGGTTTTGCCAGTTTGTATGCAGGATGATGTATCTTCTACTATGTTCTCGCTAAATCTCCTACTCAGTGTTGACTCGGGAGGGAACACATGACCAGGATTATTGTCTCCTGCCCAAAGGCAAGGGCTTTTGCTGGTTAGTATAATGTTGGGTTTATTTTTAATTACTTGATCCTGCAGGATGCGCCCAATTAAGTCTTACATGTGGAAGGAAAGAAATCGGGCTGCATTACATTGTCAGCAATTTTGGGATGACAGATTGCCTGTAATTCCCTTTTTGTTCCAAGTGAGAAATTTCCTAACTATCCTTCTCACAGTTGTTCTGTAAACCACAATAGACTAGAAACCAAAGGAGAAATGTTCAGGATTATCTACCTTCATTTCTGTCATTGCTTTATGAATAGTTGTCTCGTAATTCATTTTTTTTTTCCATTCCACGTGCTGAGGAAGTAGTTGATTGCACTCCAAATTACTTCCAGCTTCACTTAGTATTGCCATAAATTACTTCTGATCCTTCTATCTCTTCTTTCTCTTGACCTCCCTCACTTCCAAGTTCGCATTGTAAGTAGAAGCTGCTATTCTAATATTTGGGAGTTAGCTGTAGCCATATAATTCAATCAATTGTGTGGAGTGAATTGCCTGTCACTTTCTCCTCTATCTAATAAATAACTGTGATTCATTCTGCCTAAGACAGACTCTCATTTCCACTTGGACCAGTTTTTCCTTCTCGTGCAGACATCACAAACACAATCCCATTCAAAGCTATGAACACTATTTCCCAATATAACTCATTTGACATGACAATTCAGAGTAATGTTGAAATACCTGTTTATAAATGGTGTTGATACATTTCCTTGTCATATCTTGTATAGTTCATTTTGCTTGCTTGATGCACATTGTTTGACAACTTTACGTCCAGTTTTTCGCTTGTTCTCTCTCTCTGTTCAATTTTCATGTGTGGAGAGGGAATTTACTATTACCTGTGATTTTGTTTAGATGAACGTGGCGCTTTGTATCTGTATTTTGAACTTTTTAGGGTAATTCCCGTTGGTAGTGTATACATGTCTAGCTACGTGGTGTCACATGCTGCTCAGAATATATGTGGAATGTGTAAAGGTTCCTCGTGCAAATAGTTGGATCTCAAGTGTACGTTAGTATTTCAGATGGTATGTAATCGACTGTGCATTTACCTTGTTTGTTAACTGGTGATTGATGTGTGATGCGCTCTGTTATGTCTCCTTGCTTGTTTGTTAGATTGAATTCATGCTTTATTGGGAAATATGTTAGTTTAGCATTATTTTGTGGAACCCATTATTATAATTGAATTTTCAATGGGTTCCTCCTTTGAATTATGAATTGTTACAATTGTGCCACATATTATTAGTTCCAGTGACAACTTCAACACGTTTTCTTTGCCTTTTTTGTTTCTTTTTTAAATTTTATTTAAATTTCTGTGTCTTAAGGTTTCTAATTGCTGACTATCTTTTTCTTGCTCATCCTCCTCTCTTGATTTCTGGGCCTCTGGCTTATTCCAATGGAATGGGTACTTGTGATTTTCAGTCTGGTTGGTAATCAGCGTTTGGTGTTTTGCTTGTGTATATTTTATCTATCAATTAGGGGTAATTTGAGTCTGAAGGTGAAGGTATAGTGTAATGTGAATGGTTTTGAGAGAGATAATGATAGCCGTTGGATAAGTCTATTTGAGGCTGTCGGATGAACTTATTGAAGTTTGTCATGTTTTATAACAGCGTATATAGTTTGGCGCCATTTCACTTTAACCTTCGCCCCTCCCTGTGGTGAGTCGAACCAAACAACAGTTGCATGCACTCTCATTTTTCGCATACACTTCTATTTTTTGTCCTACGTATCTCTCTGTAGTAATGCTTTAATTTCTCTGATCTTCTACTTTAAAAAAAAAATTATTGTGTTGGGGCCTTGTTTCTGTTGCCGAATGAAAGCTTGTATGAATTGATGTCTCGTAAAGTGGATTGTGGGCAGGAACACAAATAAGTTTAGTGGAATAATACTTTGGTCTCTAAAATATGATTGTTTTGTCAATTTAATCTTTAAGAGATTTCTCAATTTAGTTGTGAAAGTGTTCCATTCGTGTTTAAAAGATCTCTAATCAGACGGCCTGTTATGTGCTTTGACAGAAGTGATCACGTGTTATTCTTTAAAATAGTATTATGTGACTAACACATGATCAACAAAAACTTAACAGACTGTCTGTATAAGGATCATTTCAACATT